ATAAGTTAAATTATACAGTATTTGTTTTTCTCTGACTTATTTCATTTAGCATAATACCCTGTAGGTCCATCATGTCACAGAGGGCAAGATTTAATTCTTTTTTATGGCTGAGTGATATTCCATTGTATAAATATATCACATCTTCTTTATCCATTCATCCACCAATGGACACTTAGATTGTTTCCATATCCTAGCTATTGTAAATAATGCTGCAATAAATATAGAGATGCATGTATCTTTTTGAATTAGTGTTTTTGTTTTCTTCGGGTAAATACCCAGAAGTAGAATTGCTGGATGTTATGGTAGTTCTATTTTTGATTTTCTGAGGAATGTCCATACTGTTTTCCACAGTGGCGGCACCCATTTACATCCCCACCAATAATGCACAAGGATTCCCTTTTCTCTACTTCCTTGCCAACACTTGTTTTTTCTTGTGTTTTTGATAATAGCCATTTTCACATGTGTGAGGTGATATCTCTTTGTGGTTTTGATTTTCATTTCCCTGATGATAAGTGATGATGAGTACCAAAACCTATGGCATTCATCTCTATGCAATGTTCCTTCTGACAAACAGGAGGAGATAAGATTGAGGCCAGTTTATATATGATCTGAAATATCATCAGGAAAACTGGGTATTACCTTCTAGGTCATGGAGATTTGGGGACAGGGAGGATATATGATGAAAATAGTATTTTAGAGGGGTGCCTGGGTGACTCAGTCGGTTAAGCATCTGCCTTCGGCTCAGGTCATGATCCCAGGGTCCTGGGATCGAGCCCCACGTCGGGCTCCCTGCTCAGTGTGAGCCTGCTTCTCCCTCTCCTCCCCGCTTGTGCTCTCTCTTGCTATCTCTGTCACTATCTGTCTCTCTATCAAATAAACAAAATCTTTTAAAAAGATTTTATTTACTTGATAGAGAGAGACAGCAAGAGAGGGAACACAAGCTGGGGGAGTGGGAGAGGGAGAAGCAGGCTTCCTGCAGAGCAGGAAGCCCAACAAGAGATGAGGTTTGGGATGAGAGGGGCGGCAGTCACCTCTCTATACATGTAAAAGAAAAGTTAGTTTTCCTCTAGAGTCTATTCCAATAATCAATTAGTGAAGTTCATTTCTTATGTATATGTTCATGTAGAATAAGTAAGCTATTAACATAGAACAACATTCAAAAGGTACAAAAGGACATATAAAAATTACATCCATCCTACCAGTCCCCCAGCAACCTCTCTCCTCCATCGAAGTGATGCATTACAAGGAACCATTACCAGTTCCTTATATCATTCCAGAGAGGCATACACAAACACACACATACACATTCAAAGAGCATGCAACTCTTGATCTCTGGGTTGTGAGCTTGAGCCCCACATTGGGGGTAGAGATTACTTAAATTAAAAAAAAAACAACAAAAAACCCCAACCCACATACACATTAAAATAAATAAACCTACAGATATCAGCAAACTATACATGTTGCTCTTTACCTTGCTGCTTTTATTATTATTATTATTATTAAACTATAATTCTCTGAGGTCATTCGATGTCAGCATGTTTAGAACCATCAAAATTTTGTTAACAAATTGAATTCCAAAGTACCATGTATCTTTTTTTTTTTTAAGATTTTATTTATTTGACAGGGAGAGCACAAGCAGAGGGAGAGAGAGGGAGAAGCAGGATCCCTGCTGAGCAAGGAGCCCGATGTGGGACTCAATCCCAGGACCCTGGGATCATGACCCGGGCTGAAGGCAACTGCTTAACCGACTGAGCCACCCAGGTGTCCCAGTACTGCGTATCTTTTAAACAAAAGCTCTAGAGATGGACATTTGTCTCTAGTGTTTTGTGACTATAAACAAAGTAGCAAAGAATATCTTTGTACTTTTGTTATTTGCCTATGGGCAAATGTATCTACAGGAAAATTTCCTAGAAATGCAATTGCTGGGTCAAAAGGCATGTACCTTTAAACATTGGTAAGTTTGCTTACTCTTTCTTTCTTTCTTTCTTTCTTTCTCTCTTTCTTTCTTTCTTTCTTTTTCTTTCTTTCTTTCCTCCTTTGCCATTTATTTCTTAACACAATTGCCTACGTAGCCTCAGCTTGTGCATTAGATGGAAAGTTTTCTCACTGTGGGTTTTGCTCTTTTTTGGGGGGGGGAGGGAGAGAGAGAATCCCAAGCAGGCTCCAGGCTCACCAGCACAGAGTCCGATGCAGGGCTCAATCTCACAACCCTGAGATCATGATCTGAGTTGAAATCAAGAGTCAGGGGTGCCTGGGTGGCTCAGTTGGTTAAGCGACTGCCTTCAGCTCAGGTCATGATCCTGGAGTCCTGGGATCGAGTCCCACATCGGGCTCCCTGCTCAGCGGGGAGTCTGCTTCTCCCTCTGACCCTCTTCCCTCTCGTGCTCTCTATCTTTCATTCTCTCTCTCTCTCTCGAATAAATAAATAAATAAAAAATCTTAAAAAAAAAAAAACACACACACACACAAAAAAAAGAAATCAAGAGTCAGATGCTTAACTGACTGAGCCACCCAGGTGCCCCTGGGCTTTGCTCTTAATTCCTATCACATCTCAGTGTTTTATGTGGTGTATCAAATGTGCCTGCAGTTCTGAAAGCAAGTCCCAAACATGAGTGGTGTATCAAACGTATTTCACAGGAAAGAGAAACTCATGTTTTAGGATATCCGTTAATACATATATGTGCCCCTACTTCAACTTTTGGGGCTTTCCCCCAGTGGAAGAAAACCACCACCACTTCCTCAATTTTATTTATTTATTTTTTTAAAGATTTATTTATTTATTTGACAGAGAGAGACACATCAAGGGAGGGAACACAAGCAGGGGGAGTGGGAGAGGGAGAAGCAGGCTTCCCGTGGAGCAGGGAGCCCAACGCGGAGCTCGATCCCAGGACCCCGGGATCACGACCTGAGCTGAAGGCAGACACTTAACGACTGAGCCACCCAGGTGCCTCCACTTCCTCAATTTTCGAGCTTATTTGGTCCCATCTCTTCATTTTGCAGATGGGGAAGGGACTTGCCCAAGGTCACAAGGGGCCTATATGATTAACTAGGGCCGGTCTCCTGGTAGCCCATCTGTTGGAACAAAAGCTTTTTCCTTTGCAGGATCCTCCAATGGTCTCCAAGATCTCTATCCTTCTGTTCTCCTAGAAAATTCAGTCCCAGGAATGCCCAACTCTTTCCTTCGTTAAGGCACATTGTCAAATATAACAAAATTATAAGGAATTATCTCCCTCTGCTGGTAACATGCTACAACTACAAAGCCTTAAAAAAAAAAAAGTGTCCGCTGCCTTGAAAAACTAATCACATCCCAAGAGACTTACGTGAGGCCTGATAAACAATCTCATCCCTGCTGCTGTCCCTAAGGCTTAGTCAGTATAATTCATTTAAGAGAACAGGTTCACAGAAGAATGTATTCAAAATGAACATAGCTCCAGACAGTGAGCAAGACAACACTTTGAAGTTGGTCAGCCTGTTCATAATACTAGTTATATTTTAGAGAATTTGAGCTGCTAATGGAATATCCATGTGGAGATGCCAAGAAGAAGCCTAGCTATATGAATCAAAAACACCAGGGGAGGTCAGGGCTGGAAATCAACTTTGGGAATCTTTAGTATTCAGTGGGTGGCTCACACCATGAGCATTTGGGTAAAAACGACCGACTGAGGACACACCCAGAGATGATCCATATTTCAGAGACAGGAAATCATGAAACCAGAGAATTAATAAGCACGTCACTTTAACTTCTAAGGACTAGTAACATTTAATACATGATTGCAGTTTATAATAATAATTATTAGGAATACAATTGCAAAAATTCTCAACAGGAAGCTGTTACTTTAGGAAGATTAATGGCATGCTAAAAACATGAGAAGAAACACATTCCAGGTTAGACAATTTGATTACAACAGCTAAATGCAACACTACCAAATGACAGGGTTTAAATACTTAGAGGTTTATAGGAACACATCGGTGAGAATAAAAATACATGATGTTTATTTTTCCTTTGTTTTTCTGTTTTGGGAAAGTGGATGATTAGAGAATTTCAAGTCTTCTTAGGGAGCCAAGACACCCTTATGATGATAATAGCTAACCTTTGGAAGTCTTACTGCCGGTCAATCACTGTCCCACGCTTTTCCGCATAGTAACTAGTTTAATTCTGACGATCTACCTTTGAAGCATCTACTACTACTATTATTTCTGTTTTGTACACTCGGGGAACTGAGGCACAGACACCGTAAGTTACCTCATAAGATCACAGGATCTTGTTCGAGTTGGAAGTGTCCGAAGTCGAACTTTAAAGTTGAAGGTCTCTACCTCTGTAATGGAGAAAAATAAAACAGGAATACCGTTTAGGAAGACGCGCAAGTAAATTTTTAAGTAAATGCTAATGTATGTATCTGTTATTAACGACTCAGGAGAACTTTAGTAGTGCTGGTTGTCCAGCTCGTGTGCCAGTATTATCAACTAACGATGTTTTTACTGAGGATCCAAAGGAGGGTTAAGAGATGCTTGTGATACTGCTTTATGTGCAGGAAAAACTAAAAAATTTCCACCCTATCACACGGAAATAATAGAATGTCTTATGCATCAGCAGATATTTTTCATCCTCTGGTGAGGTATAAACCGTTTTCAGAACGTTGAAGAAAACGTAATCTGGAGTTTATAAAGATTACGACTCACTTAAAAAAAAAAAAAGTTTTCAGGGATTGCCTGCCCTTAGAAAACACGGCTCCAAAGAACACCCTTTCCGTACTCAAGACGATGACTTCAAAGGGGCTCTCCCATTCAGTACGAGAGATAACGTGTTGCCCTTAAGAAAAATGGCAACTTTCTGGTTTCTCTGCCCTTTTCCAAGATGGCTTTCTCGATGCTAGTGGGTCCTGGCTTGGTGCCTCTTCCGGGCTTGGCAAGGGGCGGGGCCCATTGAGTAAAGCCTTGCGTGCCGGCGCCCGCGACGGAGGCGCGCTTCAGGGCGCAGGCGCGGGGAGGGGGTGGGGGAGGAGGGAAAGCGGCGAGTAAGATGGAAGATGAGGAGGTCGCTGAAAGCTGGGAGGAGGCGGCAGACAGCGGGGTAAGGAGGAGCCGCCGCCGCGGGGCAGGGCCGGGCGGGACCTGGCGTGAGGGAAGCCTCCGGGGAGCGGGCCTGGGGATGGTTCTCCCCAAGGAAGGGCCCCACACGCCGGGCCGGGAGTGGAGGAGAGGCCCCCGGTCCCTGAGCGCCGTGAAGGCCTCTTAAAGGGGCCGCGTTCCATTTCTCCCTCCACCTCTGCCTGGTGCGCCTTCCTCTGTACCCCCGACGTGCGCGTCACCCAGGGCGCCCCACCCGCCACCCAGGGCCTCTTTTACTGGCCCCCGCGCCTGCTCGCTCGTCCCGGGACTCTCTGACCCTTCCTCTTCTGTCGCCGCCCCCCCCCCCCGCCCGAGGCACCATTTTAAAGTTCATGTGCTCTGATGAGGAGCGACATACCATGTGGGGGGGGGGTGCGCGGACCCGGGCGGCGTGCCCGGATCCCGAGAAGAGCTGCTGAGGGCCGGAGGGGAAATTGAGTCGTCTCTGGGCCCCTCCACTCTGCGCTAAAATCCCCTATTGCTTTGCGCCTTCCGCCACTGTGGGCGAGTCTGGGGTTTTTTTCTCTTTCAGTTTTACTCTGAGAGCCCATTGCAGGCGGGTCTCCCGGGGACCCCGCCGGAACAACCGACAGCCCGGCGGGCAGCCCCTCTCCCCGGGGAACCACCCAACGATCTGAGCCCCGGGCGAAGGTCTCGGAGAGTGCTTGCGATTTGTAAAGTAGCCACATTCCTGGGAGAGGAGGGGGTGGAAATGGACCGTTCGATTTTGCTTTTGGGAGTTTTTATTTGACTTCCAAAAGCTGTAGGAAAAAATAGCTTATCCCAAGCTGGAACAGCCGGAACCAAGTCTATTAGGTTTGTGATTAATTTGGATCTTATCAGAATTTGTGGTTCTGTGGCGACCCTCGTGAAGATGGGGAGATGGCCTTTTGGCCTCCCCGTGTTCGTGTCTGTTAAGTGCTGGCTCGAGTGACAGCCACCTTCAAGGTTTATGTGTTGGGAGTGGGGCGTGGAGAGCCGAGTGTGCCAGGGTAGAACAGGAGCTGGGTTCCCCCTCCCCACCCCCAAGCGCCTTTGAGGGTGCTCGTTAGAGCTGGAAGAGGCCAAGGAATTGACCCTCGCAGCAGTGGGTGTATCTCTGCGGGAATGTTGAAACTTGGCTTCGCTTCGAAGTTTTTTCCGGTGGTTCAGCATTTCTTTCATGGTGTTTATGTTTTTCCACTTAGCATAATTAAAGTTTTGAAGAAGTAATTCGTTCAGAAGGTGTTTGGTACAGTTCTTATGTGCTGACCATCTTTCTTGGATTTTGACTTGAGTAAGGAGACCAATTGAAAGATTTTGTATGGAGCAACAGGTGTCATCTGGGTATTTATTCAACAAACATTTTTTAGTGTCTCTATGTGCAGGGTAGGCAGTGTGCTTAGCAGTGACTTTGTGCCAGAGAATGCAAAATTTCCGGGTACAGGCATTTTATTGCCTACCACTAATATGAGTGCATCATTAAGACACCCTTCAGGTACACCCTCCTGCAAAGAAGCCTGGCCTGCAATTTGAGTGACTCAAATGATAAGTTGCTTGAGCATCTTGGCCTTTCTTTGATTTTTCTCACCTGTTTACAAGGGACATGAGTATTTCTTTTTTTTTTAAAGGATTTTATTTGTTCATTTGAGACGCAGAGATACAGAGAAAGAGAAGAGAATGCATGAGCAGGGAGAGAGGCAGAGGGAGAGGGAGAAGCAGGCTCCCCGCCGAGCCAGGAGCCCGATGTGGGGCTCGATCCCAGGACCCTGGGATCATGACCTGAGCCGAAGGCAGACGCTTAACCATCTGAGCCACCCAGGCGCCCCTGGACATGAGTATTTCATGTTAAAGAAGAAGAAAATGAAAAGAATGAATGCAGGATTCAGAAACTGGGGATTACTTTTGTTTTTCAGAATGTGAAATTCACTTAGGGATCAGCTAGCCCTGGCCCCCGCGCCTGCTCGCTCGGCCCCGGGACTCTCTGACCCTTCCTCTTGTGTCGCCGAATTTTACAGCTGAATGAACCCCAGGGATATAAGATTTAACTTAGATCTTTCTGATGCTTTCAGTGTTCTTTCTACTGTACTTCAGTAAAACCCTTTAAAACTGCCAGGTACTGTACTTCAGTAAAACCCTTTAAAACTGCCAGGTACAAAGATGGAACCCAAACCTTGCCTTGTTGACGTAATGAGTGGTAACTGCCAAAATGTACGTTTCTTCTATATCTTTTAATTGAACCATTGAAATAACCTGTAGAGTTATTGTCCTTTTATAAACAGGGAAACTGAGGTTTAGGGAGTAACCTGTCTTGCTCAAGGTCACACAGATAGTAAGTAGGGAGCTGGGATTTGACACCAAGCCTGTCTGACTCCAAAGCAGGATTCAATCTGTAGCATTTTGCTGTCTCTTTACCTGGGACCTGGGGAAGACGTGGGAGTTGGGCATTACCTTTCTTTTTTAATATGTTTGCTTTGTGCTTATATTTGAAAACTCTCTTGAATTTGATTCTCTTTTTGAATTTCACAAAGGGTTTTGTAGATGTGCACTTTTGTGGGAGGGGAGCCAGGGAGGGGATGAAGCACTATGTCCACATCACTGGGAAACCAATGCACTGTACATGTCTTTCAGATGTAGCATCTGAAAGTCTGCAGTTGCATCTGTAAGTCTTAGCTTCTGTTGATCCTGTCTTCCAACTGATACATAGTAATGAGTGTTAAGTACCCACCCTCCAAAGGAGCAACCTGGATGGTGAGAAGACTAGCAAACGGGGGTTGGCTAATTTCTAAAGTGAACACTCTAACTTTGTATAATCTGGAGGTAGTTCTGATCCTTGAAAGTAGAGGCTTTTGGTGATCCCTGCCCTCATCACTACAAAAAATTTTGACATCATGCTGGAATGTCTTATGTGTCAGTACATCTGAGGTCATTTTTTCTTGCATATCTTCAAAATACTCAATATTGAGTGCTATTGTGTCATTCTAGGAAGGCTTTGAGAAACAGTCCAGATGTTCTGTAAATAGGCTGCTTTTTGCTTTTAGTATGGTGAACACTGACCTAATATAGAATTGTTCCTTTGCCTGTTTCCTCCCAAGGAGTTACATCCCCAGTCAAAGGACAATTCAAGGAATATAGCTTATATTCCGCTAAGGAAATGCTTCTTTAAAAATACACTGCTTGGGGCGCCTGGGTGGCTCAGTCGTTGGGTGTCTGCCTTCGGCTCGGGGTGTGATCCCAGGGTCCTGGGATCGAGCCCCACATTGGGCTCCCTGCTCCGTGGGAAGTCTGCTTCTCCCTCTCCCATTCCGCCTGCTTGTGTTCCCTCTCTCACTGTGTCTCTCTCTGTCAAATAAATAAATAAAATATTAAAAAAAAAAAACACTGCCTTGGGCGCCTGGGTGGCTCAGTTGGTTAAGCGCCTGCCTTCAGCTCAGGTCGTGATCCTGGAGTCCCGGTATCGAGTCCCACATCGGGCTCCCAGCTCAGTGGGGAGTCTGCTTCTCCCTCTGACCCTCTCCCCTCTCATGCTCTCTCTCACACTCTCTCTCTCAAATAAATAAATAAAATCTTAAAAAAAAATACACTGCCTTTGGGAGAAATGAAAATATAAATTGAGTTAATGTTGATTCAAACTCTAAATTCTGTCCTTTGTCTTAAGCACATTTCAGGGAACAAATAGAGCATTTTGTAATTGGAAGACATCTTTGTGCTCCAGGAAAGAAAAATCAGATCAACAGTTTGCTCAGTTTTTGATAGTTTGAAGTCTTATATATTCACTTGTTTAGACAAAAAAAAAAAGACATGACCTAGTCCATCTTGTAGGTAATGGGCTAATCCGAACCTAAGGGAAAATAAATGGTACACAAATGGAATTGGGCTTATTATAATGCATTGGCAACCTCTCTGGGATTTCTTTGCATCTCAAAAGTTGCATTTTGTTTTTGGCAAGGGCAAGTCATACAGCTAATTGAAAGAAAATATATCTTAAGTTAAAGGATGACTGGTCTTCTGGACTAGAATTCAAATTTATGTTTATTTTTTACCCTCTGTGAGCCTCTAAACATGACCCCATCAGTGATGCTGGGTGGCATACAAGTCTACTGTAGGAAGGTGTCAGTAAACACTGAAAACTTACTGCGTACCAGGCACTGGATGGAGGAGTCAAATGGGTAAGGCAGCACTTTCTTTGGAAGAGGCATAGATGGGGTACCATGGCTGGGATCAGAGACAGTCCTGTAGAGAAGGTGACGATGCAAAGGACCACTAGAATTAAGTTGTTTTAAGTCTGGAAGAGGTGGGTAGAGTGTAGGGCCAGTGTGCATATAGGCAGCAAGAGAAGAATGTGCTGCATTGGGAGAGCTACAAATACTCAAATACTTCCTTCTGGCTGTAGGGTAGGGAGTTGGCAGGACTGAATGGAAACAGATGAGGCCAGAAAGGTATGCAGGGGCCAGATCTGGAAGGGCCTCGTTGTACTTGGTCCTGGGGAGCTTGCACTTTGTCCTGAAGCTTTGAAGGCTTTTGTTTTGTTTTGTTTTGTTTTAAGCAGAGTGGTGACATAGATTTTAATTTAAGAGGTAAGAACTTTGATTAACTTCTTATTCTTTAGAGAAGAGGCCATTCTCCCCAAAGCATGGCTTCTACCTCACTTTGATGTCTTCAGCACTTCCTGTAACTGCTGTCATTATGGAATATTTACAGTGGCTGTGGGTAGTGGGCAAATAACAGTTATTTTGGAGCTACCTGGTACTGATTTGTCTATCCCTATAGTAGAGAAGGCATTTAAAACTTGTGGTATGAGAAAGCACAAATCCCGGTGTACTATGCCTAAAGGAGCCATTTCTAAGCTATTCCGGTCTTTCTGAGAAGATTGGGTCCTAAGGACTGTGATGTGCTCAGTGCGGACTTTCTATAAAGCAGTTGGCCAGTTTAGACATGATCATGCTGTGAGCAGTCTGTCCCTGCGACTCTGGAAAAAGATCT